TTTTTTTTTTTTTGGAGAGGGGTGTGTGTTAAAAGATTACCATTTTGACAAAGCGAGTATAAAATATGATATTATTTTAAATAATTAATTTATTAGTTCTATTTGTATTTTTTTATTATTCTATTATAGTAATATAAATTTCTTTACTCCTTAATTTTGATTAAAAAAATTTAATTTTTGAGCACCACTATTGTTCACGTGATAAAAATGAATATATATATTAAATAAAATTAATATAACTTTATAAAATATTTTCTAGAATTTGAAATAATATTTAAAAAATATTTTCTTATTAATTATTTATAGTCTTTTTATTATACAATAATAATATTTGTTGGACAATTTAGTTTTCTATGAAACACCGTATACTTCACAAGTTTAGTACTAATTTGATATTAACAAATATAGGGAAATGCTAAGGTCCTGTTACGGAACTATTCAGTCGGGATTTCTACTCGTTGGATCATCATGTAACCGTTAGAGATAGTTGATCTAACGATTACAAATCTCGACCAAATTGTTCCGTAACGAGACCCTAGCATTTTCCAATAACATAATTTTTAAAAATTTAAAATTCCGTTTTTTCGGAGGTAAGTGTAGTTGTCTAGAATCATTGTTCCGTAACGAGACCCTACCATTTTCCAATAACATAATTTTTAAAAATTTTAAATTCCGTTTTGTCCGGTTCTAGAAATATTGATGGAGACCAATGTGAAGACTCGAGTAGGTCGTGTGTGAACTGCAATTTCCCATGACCGTTCTGTAATTTTTTACCACACAAAAGCTTCACAATCCAATTGAATAGTAGCAGCTAATAACTGCACATTAATTAATTACAATTAAATTTGGTTGTATCCCTTCCCTGCCAACCAAAACGACGTCATTTTGTTCGTCTTCAAGATCCTAACGCCGACGATCTGTCATCTGTTGCAATCTAATCTAATACTATAATTTATTACACATTCAATATCTATTTCCACTTTTTTCGCTTCTCTGGATCAAAGCAATTTGCTCTCGTTTTTTTCGAATGTATTATACATCAGTGAAATTTTTGTTAGTTCATCCGGCAGATGAACTACACGTTATGTTTTCGAGGAGAAGAGTAACTGTTTAATGGTCGAAAAACGAGGTGTTGATTTGAAGCTGTTTCCTCTCAACATCTCAAGAAACCAGAAATTTTTATCGAGATTTCTTGTTTTAATCTCCTTTGTGGGTTCCCCCTTTGAAATGGGTTCCAATAAGCGAGCCAAGTTCGACTCCCTTATCTCACTCAGTAGACTCCGATCGATTCAAGTGTTGACGGTATTGCTGTTTCTGTATTTGATTTTCATCACTTGTGAAATTCCGATGGTTTTGAAAGCTGGGTTGGGGTTGGAATCCAGTGACGTGAGCCCCAGCTTGCCCCTCATCTCCCACCCTATGTTCGGAGCCCAAAATGACAACCAGTTGTCCAGAAAGGAGAAGGAGAGACCGGTTTTTCGGGCCCAGGAGCGGAAAATGGGGGAATTCAAGAAGATTTCGGGCCTCGTTTTCGACGAGGATGCGTTTAAGAGCATAGGCGAAGATGAATTTTCGGAGCTGCATAAGATAGTTGGGGATGCATTCGCATTGGGCAAGAAAGTGTTGGGTGATTTAGAGTCGGGTAAAATGATGCCAAGTGAAGCGGAAAATCGGACGGCGAAGAAGGTGGACGAGCCCTGCCCGCATTCGCTGTTGTTGACCGGTCATGAATTCGTGAAAAAGGGGAAGATGATGGTGATACCATGTGGGCTTTCATTGGGGTCTCACATCACTGTGGTTGGGCGGCCGAGGTGGGCCCACATTGATAGATTGTCCAAGATAGCCTTGGGGAAGGAGGGCGAGAGAATGATGGTTTCACAGTTTATGATGGAGTTGCAGGGCCTGCGGGCCGTGGATGGGGAGGACCCTCCCAGGATACTGCATTTTAATCCCAGGTTGAAGGGGGATTGGAGTGGAAAGCCCGTGATTGAGCAGAATACGTGTTATAGGATGCAGTGGGGGTCTGCCCAGCGGTGTGAGGGGTGGAAATCAAGGGCTGACGAGGAAACTGGTGAGCTTCGTATTGGATTTTGTGTTTTAGGTTGACTGTGTGTTATATGTTAGATGTTAATTTGTTGTGTGTGCTGTTTGGAATGGTGTTGTTTGGTTGGTGGATTGAATGTAGAATGTGTAATGCTGTTCAATTATCTAAATAGTGAAACCTCGAGTTGAGATTTTGGAGATTCTTTTACAATCCATATTTTGATTGCAATTTTGTTAAGGTGTCTCGTGTTGGGTTTCGGCTTTTTAGTTGATGGATTGCTTTTCATTATCTCAAATTATTTTTGCTGTAGTTTCAATGTAAAAGCTTTGTTATCAGCTGTCATCCTTTTACTATTGTACTTATGCAAAGTATTATTGTCTTTTATTCTTTGAAAAGGTGTTTGTTCGGGAGATAACATGTTTTCCTTAATGTGAAGTTGATGGACAGGTGAAATGTGAGAAATGGATACGTGATGATGATGACGGGTCTGAGGAATCGAAAGCTGTTTGGTGGTTGAAAAGGCTGATTGGCAGGACAAAGAAAGTTACTGTTGATTGGCCCTTTCCTTTTGCAGAGAACAAGTTGTTTGTGCTTACACTTATTGCTGGATTGGAAGGCTATCACATCAATGTAGATGGGAGGCATATTTCATCCTTTCCTTATCGTCCTGTGAGTACTTTTTTAGTATATTGGTGTTTGCAGTTACAAGCCTTTTTTTTTCGTCTTCAGACTTCATTATAAGAATACAATTTGGATACCTCATTTAGTTTTTCTGACTTAATTACATAATTGCCTCTAGTAACATGGTAGAAGCTCCATCAGATTATTTTCCAACCACATAACACTCCATGTTTGAAAAGATAAATTACAAGAAAAATAAAACTGAGGTTTTATTTAAAAAGAATCCAAAGGTTTCTGAAAAAAAAAAATTGCAGTCTTAAATGTGAAGTGTTATGGTGCTTGACAAAGCAAGTCTCGAGATTCTTCTTTTTTTTTTTAGCTTCAATTAACCCAAGTTTTGAGGTTTATATTTATGTTTTTTATAATTAGCCCAAGCTCCAGGGGTTCATGAGTAATTTTCTCAATACTCGAACCATGTTACCAGCTAAGATCTTATAAAATATGCTTTATGAAAAATTTTGGCATCTCATTAATTTGTGATCTTCACAGGGTTTTACCCTTGAGGATGCCACGGGGCTGTTCATCAATGGCGACGTTGACATTCACTCTATAGTTGCTGCTTCTTTGCCTGCTTCTCATCCAAGCACCGCTCCACAGAAGCATCTAGAACTTTCTCCAAAGTGGAAAGCTCCCAATCTTCCAACTGAGCCGGTTGAGCTATTTATTGGCATCCTCTCTGCTGGAAATCATTTCGCGGAGCGCATGGCGGTCAGAAAATCGTGGATGCAGTATAAAACGGTACAGTGGGCAAATGTTGTGGCTCGTTTTTTTGTGGCCATGGTGAGAGTCCACTTAAGAAATATACATTTCTTATGAAAGCCTAGCTCTTAAATTTTGTTTCGATTTACTTTTATTTATTGCTTGAAATTATCCTTTTGACAGCATGCCAGAAAGGAAATGAATATTGAGCTGATGAAAGAGGCGGAGTATTTTGGCGATATTGTTATAGTTCCTTATATGGATAATTACGATCTTGTTGTTCTGAAGACTATTGCTATTTGCGAGTATGGGGTGAGTCATTTATCTAGTTTCTGGGTTTTGAATTATTTCCCATTGTTTGTGTGTTTTATTTAGTTTTTATATATTTTTGGTTGTTTTCAGGTTCGCACGATGGCGGCTAAATATGTTATGAAATGCGATGATGATACGTTTGTGAGGATAGATGCTGTGATGGTGGAAGTGAACAAGATTCAAATTGGCACAAGTTTCTATATAGGGAATATCAATTACTACCACAAGCCCTTAAGGCATGGTAAATGGGCAGTGACGTACGTGGTATGATTTCTTAGAGCTACTTCTGATTCCATGATTTCTCGTGGTTTTTTTGTATGTAGTGGCACGTAAGATATTTTATCTCAGGGTAAATGGTTAATACTGGCATGGAATTTTCATCTGCATGAGGGGGGATGATATCATCAATTGCTATATTTTGATGTACTAATAAGAACATAAAGTTGGCTAATCTGCAATTCGTTATTATACCATCCACATCCAAGCTAGAATATATTGCACGTTATAAATGTTCTTGCCTTTGAATAATTTGTTTGCTTTGCATTTATATGCTCGTTTTCATTTATCTCGCTTTGTTGGTCGCAGGAATGGCCAGAGGAGGACTATCCGCCCTATGCAAATGGACCTGGCTATATCGTGACAGCTGACATTGCACAATATGTTGTATCCGAATTTGAGAAACACAAGCTGAGAGTATGTGCTTTTGTCATGCTTTTACATTTTCTCGTTTTTTCGCACATGGCTCGATTTGCTTGGAATTCACTATTTTTTTTTTTTCCTTCTTCCTTTGGTGTAACCCTGGGCACAGCTATTCAAAATGGAAGATGTGAGCATGGGAATGTGGGTGGAAAAGTTCAACAGGTCAACGACAGTGAAGTATGTGCACAGCTTGAAGTTCTGCCAATTTGGATGCATCGAGGGTTATATGACGGCACATTACCAGTCTCCCAGACAGATGACCTGTCTATGGGCAAAATTGGAACTTCATGGTAAACCTCAATGCTGCAATATGAGATGACCCTTTTGTCACCAAAATCCAACATTTGATGCCACAAAACCAACATACATCTCTCTCTCTCTCTCTGCCATACGTTGTACATTAGTTCAAGTAGCAGTCCAGGGGGCCTTTCTGTTATTTTTCTAGCTCATTCACTCTTCTTTCTTCATTTTTATTCAACTTAATTGATCATTTCTGAGGCCCTTTTTGTAATTTTTATGGCTCAGAAATACTTGGCATTTAGTTTATCGTATAATATTATATTTATTCTATTTTCTTGTACTCTTTTCGATCGACATCGATATTCCTTGTCAAACGACGGTTGAATGCTTTTTGCCGATTAAGTTTAGTAAAATAAATTAATTAATTTATTAAACATATCATTGTCAGGAATGAAATTAAATGTAGAACAAATGAGTTCATTATGTATTTCATATTCAGAACAAATGAGATCATTATGTATTTTTTTTTTTTAAATAGCATAATAATGTTCTAATATAAAAAGAATGTAATAAAATATTAGAACTCCAACTGCATTAATTCTTTTATTTATTTATATTAGATGATTAAAGAGTGATTTTTTTTTCATTCATTTTGTTTTGACGTTCTCATAATAAACAATTTTATATCCCTTGGAGCACGAGACGTGGTCTATGTGCGCGGGTCAATGTCTCGGTGTGCTTCACTACATCGGGAATGTACTAGTGTGATCTATTAGTTTAAGATCAACTAATTCTAATATCACATTACAGTCTTTTACGATAGGAATTCAATTCCGATCTAGACGGCTTCTATAGAGGTTAAAATAAAAGCCATCTTGCTCTCTATGTAATGTAATCCCATGCGATTGCCCGTCTCTCTGTCAAGTATCAGCTTTGGCAAGGACATGTATATTTATATGATTGCAATGTCACAATTGGGATCCATTCAGTTAGAGCCACAACCAGTAACCGAGATTTAACTCAGTTCGTTTATCAATATTGACGATCCTACTATAGCTTTAACGAGCCAAACTATAAAATATTAGATAAATGGAAAAAAATTATCTTTCATAGTCTTGTAGAGTCGAGTCAAGCTCCACTCGTTAACTAGATAAGCTCAAGCTCAACTCGTTTATCTAAATTAGTTGAGCCGAGCCCGAACCTTAACGAGCTGAATTCACAAGCAGGGGCGTATCTTAATGGAGACCAGTGTGGGCCTGGAAAGAAAATTCTTATATGTTGTGTTGGTACCCACTAAGATTTTTTTTT